TGGCGACATTTTGACAGGGTCGTATCCAGAATCAATTAATATAGCAAGAATTTTCCGTCATTTTAACTTTAGTATGTGTTTAATTCTCATGAACCAAACAACAAAAATTGATTGGAATTATACGTTTCCCAGTGTATTAAGTTCCCATTTACGTCAAGGTCGCTGCTACTTTGGTACATAGAAAAACTCATTCAGTTTCGCTTCTTGGGTATGTATTCTTTGCTTGCGGTTAGTAGTCGGTTAATAACGGACTATACCCTAAGAAGTCTGATATGAAAATATAAGTTCCCCTTGTATAACTTTATTAATTGTATTACCCCCTTAGATTATACAAACCTTAGATGGAACATAAGACACTGCGCATAATCCCATTTCGAAATGATTCACACCCACCAATCACAGTTGAGAACATCACATGTCAGAGCGTTGTCCATCCAAATGTAATGTGTCAACGAGAATCAATTTGGTATTTTAGTGACTTAAATTTTGGAAATTAACATTGAAAATGCCAAAATGTGTTGTAAAAAGCTTTATTTATAATAAACCTGTGAAATGTGACGCAGATAAAAGAAACTTTCATTTGTTTCGGTGAGATATTTAATTTTTAAGGATTCTGTCGACGTCCATATTTGTTGATTTGAAAATAAACAGAATCGGACTTGGTCATTGGTACATGTTATAAGTAGCAAATAAAGGTTATTATTATAAACTGTTTACTGTTTCATGGGGAAACTTTTTTTAGGAAGTGAAAAAAGAAACATACATTCAAATATAAAAATATCAATTTCATTGCCAATTTATTCGTTTCAAACTTCACTACTGGTTTCAATAGTTTTCTCAAAACTATTTATTTAGTAAGTTTCTATAACAGTGTTACTGAAAGTGTGCTCCGCGGGGCCCTGGGGCTCCGTAAAGCCTTTGTGAGGGCTTCGCGAAGAAAATAATCACAATAAAAAAAAACAGTATTATCGCCACAAAATGGAGGGACCTGGCTTGAGGACCGTTATTTGAGAAGTATTTTTTTTTAAGTCACTAAGAGGAAGGAGGATATGATTTTGCTTTAGGACTTTTTTTTATTTTATTTTTTATGGGTAAAATGGATTTGGGATAATTCTTGCAAGGAATCTTTGGAATAAATCAAAAATAAATTAACAACAAATGATATTCTTGTGCATTTTCAGCCTGAGTTGCCGATTAAATTATTCGTAGATGCATCAAATGTGGGAAGAAGGGCCATGATATGTCATGTTTTTGAAAAAAATATTGAGAAATCTATAGCTTCTCTTCGCGTACCTTATCAAAGTCCGAACAAAAATATTCCTAAATTGAAAGAGAGGTCCTTGCAATAATTTTTGGCTTAAATAAATTTAATGAATATTTATATGGACATTTCTTTATCCTAGTTACAGATCATTTACCTCTGGTAACTATTTTTAGCCCAGCTAAATGTATACCCCAATTTTCAGCCAACAGACTACGTAGATGGGCAGTAATATTATCAAATTACAATTATAAAATTGAATATGTTAAATCGGAGCATAATATAAAGCCGATTTTTTATCATGTTTACCTATTGAAAGTCAAAATGAGAGTCAAAATAAAGAAAAATTTGAAATACATTTTTTAAATTATGTGTTTTATGTGTTTAGGGCTCCGTCAAATATTTCGCTTTTCAAAAAGGTTCCGTCGCCAAAAAAGTTTGAGAAACACGGCTCTATATTAATATGGGATCTATCCATTCTGTTATTTTCTCTAATTTTGACGTATAGATATATTTTGTAATCGCAGCAAGTGTCAAAACGCCAGTTGCATAAAGTAGAACATTATGCAACTGATTACGAAAAGTTGATTGTCACCAGTTACGAAATGAAAATAAATAAAACTGCCTTTTTTGGTTTTTGAGTTGAAAAATCGAAAAATCGTGAAATCGAAATATCGAGAAATCGAGAAATCGAGAAATCGAGAAATAGAGAAATCGAGAAATCGAGAAATCGAGAAATTGAGAAATCGAGAAATCGAGAAATCGAGAAATCGAGAAATCGAGAAATCGAGAAATCGAGAAATCGAGAAATCGAGAAATCGTGAAATCGAGAAATCGAGAAATCGAGAAATCGAAAAATCGAGTAATCGAAAAATCGAAAAATCAAAAAATAAAAAATCCAAAAATCCAAAAATCCAAAAATCCAAAAATCCAAAAATCCAAAAATCCAAAAATCCAAAAATCCAAAAATCCAAAAAACCAAAAATCCAAAAATCCAAAAATCCAAAAATACGAAAAATCGAAAAAACCAAATATCGAAAAATAGGCAATGAATAGTGACATTTCACATTTGAAAATATGACATTACGTTTAACAACAAAAAAGAAATCAAAAATAGAAAAGTTGTAAATTGCGTTTTATTTTTAAAGTAACACCGATAAATGTTGGGGGTAAAATTTTGACGTACTCCTTTAAGGATAATGGGTAAAAATGTTTGTTTTTTCAAATTTCTCGCGGGTAATGTCAAAAATTAGATCGGAAACACTGCACATGTCCCTTATTTTTATTATTAATATTGAAAAAAAAACGTCGTAGGGCAATCAAATACAACAATTTTCTAAAATATTTCATTTGAAGTACCTACAAAAGAATGATGGTGAATTATTTTTTAACACAATTTTATAAATAATCAAGTCAAAATTAGAAAAAATATTGTATGTAAACACGTTACGAAATGCCGTTTTGTGTAACACGTTCATTTTGCGGGACCTCGCTCCGCTCGTTCCGCAAATATTTACTCGTTACACAAAATAAGGCATTTTGTAACTGGTTACATAAATAACTAATAATTGACTTCCTAATATTTTAATTCATTGAACGGTATTTTCCGAAAATAATTAAATCATAAATAATTACAGGCATATAAGTACCAAAACATTTTTTTCTCTTCGAAGAGTAGGTTTATGTCAAATAAACTTAAAATATTATAACGAACGAAAAGGTAACCCATTTCTAATAAAATTTAATTATTTATTTTATTTTGGTGTGATCGTAGAAAAACTCTTGTGTGTAATTCGAGCAAAAAGTACTTTGGCTGTTTCGATAACTTTTTGTCTCAACAGCTATTTTGTTGCAATAATTTTATAAACTTTTACTTAGGGTCGATTTCACTGTTTTGTTAAACGAAGTTTAAAATACTAAACGAAGATTAAAATGACATTTTTATATTACAAAAACGAAGTTTAAATTACTAAATGGAGTTTAAAATGACATTTTTACATTAACAATGTCATTTTAATCTTCGTTTAATAATTTAAACTTCGTTTGACACAACGGTAGAATCGGCCCTTAGCTAGTTATATATTGATAAAGTGTTATTGCCCTCATCATACATGAATTGTGCTAACAAATTAAGTTAAAAAAACGTCTCATAATTTTTTATCTTTTAGTTACCCACCAAAATTAGGTACTACAATACAAATATTTAAGTCCGGCTCAGAACATCTCCCTACTCCTTCTACCCAGTTTTTCGGTTTTGGCAAAATTCGCGCAGCGAGAAATGCTTCCTATGTTACCTCTACCCTTTCTAACCTCTTTGATTACCCCTTATATATGTTATTTATCTTTGTCATTAGTTGTCATCATTTATGTGAAGTTTTTGCTGAATAGCCAATTAGTTCTTGGTTCACATAAGTTTATAACAATTTATTCAGCAAAAACTTCACATAAATGATGACAACTAATGACAAAGATAAATAACATATATAAGGGGTAATACAATTAATAAAGTTATACAAGGGGAACTTATATTTTCATATCAAAGTCTTAATCTAAAATGATATAAAAGTCAAAACTAAAGGTAAGACTATTTGGTGCTTGCAATGTCGCCACAGCAAGATATTCTGCTATATATTCGGGAGCATCATTTGTGATTTCTCGCGAATTTTTTCCTGGTTTGTGCTTGAACTGGTTGGATTTCCAAGTACTTCAAGCGTATTGAAGAGAATGAATGCTTGAACTTGAAAAGGTTTTTTTGCCCAATGTACCTATCTAACTATAGATTCACTTTTTTTATTTTTGGTGTTATACAGTGTGTGCCATAAAGTTGGATCCATATGGATTTTTTTTTTATATTACAATTGGAAAAAACGTCGTAGGGCATCACCTCTTCTTATTGAAAAACTTAAAATAGCTCATATCAAAGTTATCGTCAAAAGGCTCGGCAACGTTATGTGCCAGCTGGTAATGCATTACAATACGCAATCTATACTATTTTATACGAATGAACATATACTCATTTTCTTATATAACACACTACTACTCCATCATTCCTGTTTTTTTTTTAATTTGGTGTCATCGGCATCAACTGCTAAGGTCATTAGCCTCGTGTTCTGTGTAGGCTTTGTTACTGTTTCCCAGCGCCACTTTAGGAACAGCACTGTTAATTAGAACCCAACAGTGAATGGTCGAGTGGGAAATCCTACCAAGGCATCAGAATGTACATATAACTTCTTTACAAATAATTTTGTAACATTAAAATATCCCTTTGTCTAATATTTGTAGTGTTTCTGTAAATATTAAACAATCATAATAATTGTTGCAATCTGTTTTATCTAACATTATATTTATTTAGTAAAATTTAGGACTCAATGCACAAACATTTTGATGAAATATTTTGTAAAACATATTTTTAATTGTCTCACTCTAATACTGATTATATTCATCCAAATTCTAAAATTATTTTGTCTTTTGATACATATTTTATGTTCTGAATACATGAATCAATTGCAGATGTTATTGGAAATGTGTTCTATTGTCTAAAGTAACTTTATTGCGAGTAACTCCATTATTAAAAGTTCCTTTTAGTTGTTAACTTATGTTTGTATAAATGATAAAGCAGAATTTTCCAATTATTTGATTATCTACAATAACTCTATCAATAAAAATTTATCTTTATATACCCTATCGAATTATATATAAAAGTAAAGCCGCTGAAAATAGTGGCTATTGCTAGTATTTACTTTATTTGCATTGTTTTATGTGAACCAATTATGATGAGGCCGAGTATCGTAAAAGCTCTAGAAGTTACAGTGGCAGATCGGTTGTTTTGGGTATACAACACAGTTTTTCATGTGGCTGTAGCATTAACATCAGGATTTATGTTTTACATTTTTCTCAAGTATCATAGCAATTATGCTTTAACTCGATTTCTTCATGTCTTTTTATGTACTCTCGCCGTAAGTAATTTTTTAATTTTTTTTACTGAGATTGAGGAATAAACTATTTAATTACTGAGGCCCTTCCTATGGGGTCTCAGAAAATGGTTATTATAAATACTCCCGAGTGAAATGAGCAAAAAAATGGCTGCATCCATAGAGTCGTATCTTGTTCTATTGATACAATATGCACATTATGTTTGTTTGTTTTGCTTTTTTTACCTTTTTTATCTAAGAAAACATTAATACGAGTATATTAATATGTTTTAGTACATTCCATTAATGGTAGAAGCATTACTACTTTTCTCCGAATACAATGTCTGGTCTTTAAGATTGGATCGTGCTAGGAAATCATGGATTCATGGAACATTATTAGGAAGTAGTTTTATTATTGCAACTATTGGAATAAGCATAAAAATAAATTCGAAAAGTGAACGCAGTGAAGAGCATTTTGTCAGCAATCATGCTATATTGGGTAAATATTTAATTTATTTCTATTTGTTTATGAAGTGGAAACTAAGTGGGAACTAAGTAGAAAAGGAATAGCTAAATTAGGCTTAATTTATTATTATATCGTTTATAATCTTAAAGTGTTTCTTTTTTTATTGAAATATCTCTCTCTCTCTCTCTCTCTCTGCACGTCTGTAAAATATTCTGTCTTGAGATATATAATTAGATTTAATCATGAAAAATTTGACACGCCCCCATAATTCCAATTTTTATGTCCACAGCATCTTCGGTTATTATTTTAATGCAGACATCTGTATGAATATTTTAGAATTTAATTTCATACATCCATAACATTTTAATATACAACACATGTATCGAAACAGTGTCGGTTTGGGACCTCCAGGACCTACTGGTCAGGAGGGAGAAGGGCCTCTCTCAGTGGAGAGCAAAAAAGTCCTCAAACAGCAAAAAAAAAAACAAAAAGGGCCTCTCTCATTGATGAGCAAAAAAGGTTATATCTCACTAATGAGCAAAAAAGGCCCTCTCTGATTGATGAGCAAATAAAATGCCCTCTCTCAATAAAGAGCACAAAAAAGGTCACCTAACGTATTACAGGGTTTTTACATTTAACTTACGAGAGCTTACTACCTGAACAAGGACCCACTGCCTAAACGAGGGCTTAGGCGTCTTTTGACCGGTAGAATGTATTGCTTCAAATAAACTAGAAGTTGCAAACGTTGGAAATGAACCAACCTTTGTAAAATCTGTGTGAAGAGATGTAATTGATATAACCCTTGGTACACAACGGGCGTGTTCATTGGTGGGGAAGTGGCACGTCTCAAAAGAAGCGTCACTTTCCTACCATAGGCATATCCTATTTAATCTGGGTACACAAACGTCGGGTGAGAAGACATATCGTAATCCTAGGACCTGTAACTGGGAAAACTTAAGCAGAGACTGAAGGACTGTCCTCCGACACCGAAGAATTCAGGTGGAAGTTGAGTTTATGTCAGAGTTTTTGACACAAACCTTCCTTGGATATGTTCCACAAATCTGGAGGTGTGAAAGAGTTGTCTTCATTACCAAACCCGGGAAAGCGTCTTACGCAGAGACAACATATTTCAGACCAATCAGCCTAACATCATTTCTCCGAAAAACATTGGCGAAATTGATCGATAGATGTATACGGGATGATGTTCTGGAAAGTCTTGCGATGCAGCCATAGATATACTAGCTCAACAGGCTGAACACGCATTGGAAAGCAAATAAATAGCACTAGCAGTTTTCCTAGATATAGAAGTGGCCTTTGATTCGGCTTCATACAATTCAATACTGGAATCTATGCACAGGCGTGGCGTAGCGCACTGTATTACGAAGTGGGTTGAGTAAGTGCTTAATAATAGAACCATTACCAGTAATCTCTTTAACACAACAAGAGAGGCCTTAGTGGCGTAGCGCACTGCATTACGAAGTGGGTTGAGTAAGTGCTTAATAATAGAACCATTACCAGTAATCTCTTTAACACAACAAGAGAGGCCTTAGTTAACAAGGGATGCCCGTAGGGAGGAGTTTTATCTCGTCTTATGTGAACCTTGGTGGTTGATGACCTCTTATGGGAGTCAGAGAGAGAAAACCTATGCAGGCAAGCATTTGTAGACGACAATCATCTTAGTAAACGGTAAATTTGGGTCTGTTGTTCCTGAAAGAATGCAGTTTGCACTAAAGATCGTCGGAAGATGGTGCTTACAAGAGGGATTGTCCACAAACCCGACAAAGACCTCTGTTGTTGCATTCACATGAAAAAGAAGCCTTCAAGGAATAAAGGAGCTTTATATGTGATGACAACATCTAAAAATGGCAGAAGAGGTTACATATCTTGTAATCACTCTTGATGACAAGCTTAGCTTCTGCAGCCATATAGATAAAACAACAGAAAAAGCTGTAAGAATACTATGGGCCTGTAGACGGATGGTAAGGAACACATAGGGCTTAAACCAAGTATGATACACTGGCTTTATACTATGATTGTAGTACCTGTTATAACTTACTAATCAGTCATATGGTGGCACAAGACCAAAAACATAACAGCTAACAGAAAATAAGACTCGCCTGTCTAATAATAACAGGGGCATTTAGAACTACGTACGCACACTGCAGCAGTGGAGCTACTGCTAGGTCTTCTTCCATTACACCTTGTGGTGGAGAAGGAGGCTATGGCGGCGGCATACAGGCTGTTTACTAATGGATTTGGATGGGAACTTTAGAGAAAAGGACACCACACAATGATATTAGAGAAATTAAAATAAAATCCGGTTTTAAGAACGCCATTGGGTGTGAATCTGGGGTCACTGACAACAGTCTTCCAGGCTGAAGTAGCAGCAATAAATGCCTGCACCAAAGTTAGGCTAAATGACTCTTTTAGAGATAAAAGGGTGTTTATTATGACAGACAGTTAGTCAGGCAACCCTTAAAGCACTATCAAAATTAATACTTGCCAACAGTACATCCAGGCCCTGGCAGAACATAACAAGTCCACCATTGAATGGGTATCGGGACATGAGGAAGTGTTTGAGAAAGCAGACCTCCTAGCAAGGAAGGGAGCAGAAAAAACTCTATTTGGACCAGAACCCACATGTGGTATTTCATACCAACATGTTAAATGGGTTTTAACGGAACAAATAAATAGAGAACACCAAAGGCTCTGGTTGGAACTTCCTGGACTTAGACACTCCAAAAGATTCATAGAGAGGCCATTCAAGAGCAGACAAAATCAACTGCTAAACCTTAGCACATGCGAAATCAAGCCCATAATAGGACTTTTTACGAGACACTGCGGGCGTTAGAAGACACCTAAATCTCTTAGGGATATCTGATTACTTCCTTTGTAGAATATGTGAAGAAGAGGACGAAACTCCTATTCACATAATATACCACTGCCGGAACTTTAATTGAAAACGGGAATGGTACTTCGGGGTACATATTCTTGAATTTATCAAAAAATAATCTGATGGGATAGAAACTGTGAGGGATACAATAATCCTAGAGCTTCAGTACGAGTGGGCGTTGAACCACGCCCTAATTCAGATAGATAGCAGATACAATCACTTTTACATTTATCTATTTTTTTCTTTAAACAAATCTTTTTCTTATTTATACTGTAACCCCCTGAGTTTATTAATGATCATTTTATTTTTATATACAGATCCCATTGTAGATGCCTGTTTATGATAATGCCTAGATATTTAATGGAAACAACTTCGAGAATTTGGAATTCATCAATATTTTTTTTTATAAATTTTTGAAAATACAGAAAGTAAAGAGACAGGCCTGTAGTTTTCATTTTTTTTTTTATTCCTAAAAAGAGGTTTTTTTTTATTCCAATTTTTTTAAACAGGTTGGAAATTCCTGTTCTCGAAAATTTTATTTCTTTTAATGTTTTTTTCCTTCAGTTATCTTCTTTTCTACATATAGTCATCATGAGATAAACAATAAAATTGATAAAACCATAACGCAAAATAATATAATAATAAAACTAATATTTCAGGTTTAGCTTCATGGATTGTTTGTTTTATATCAGTGGTAGGAGGAGTTCTGTCTTTATATTCTTCAAAGCTTAGGAACTTGATCAGACCAGTCATACTAAAACTCACCCACACTTTTTTGGGCTTGACGGCGTTTACACTCGGAATGGCAAGTTTGATTCTGGGATTGGATTTACCAGCATTTAATAATTTCACGACACGAAACGAGAAGATTGTTATAACAGTATTATTGTCGATTATTACCATTATGTGTGGAACGAGAGTGATTCGTTCGGCTGTAAATCAGTTTAAAGCGATATTAACATAACAATTTTAAAAGTTTTGTGTATTTAAATAATTCCTAAAAATCTGGTAAAGAGATAAACTGTTTTGTTTTGATATAAGAATCAGCAGATTATTGATTGAGAAAACGAAGGAGTGTTATAGTGTAGGAATAAATCTAGTAGCTTCTAGATTTTCCTTTTATAAATTGGACACTAGAACCTCAGGATGAAAGTTTTAAATAAATTTATTAGTTACATACATAGCTTTAATACATTTTTCTAATTATATATTTAACAATTCGTTGATTGATTTTAGTGCAAATACGAGGGTCATTCAATAAGTAAAGAGACAAATTCTATAATTTTAAAACTATTCAATGAATGTGTACAATCTTTTCAGGGGTGTTAGTTGGCAACCTTGGGATATGCTCTGATCAGCTGTTTCGTCATTTTATGTTAACATAACCTCAATATTTTCAATTCACCATGGCAAGTCCACTAGAAGATTGCACCTTCGAAGAGCAGCGCTCAGTCATTATATTTTTAGTCGCAGAAGGTGTAAAACCAAGTGAATTTTTTTCTAGAATGATGATACAGTATGGTATAAGTTGTATGAACCGTGCGAATTTTTACAATTGGGTTGATCGGTTTAAAAGTAGCCGAACAAGTGTAGATGATGAACACTGATGTGGACGTCCAGTGGAAGTTTCTGGTCCCTCGTTGGAATCGAGGATTGACGGACTTATTCATGATAACAAAAGAATTACTGTTGAAATGATAGCTGAGGAAGTTCAAGTAAGTGTTGGAACTGTTCACAATGTCATTCAGAACAATTTAAAGTACAAAAAAACGTGTTCCAGATGGGTTCTCAGACAACTTACTGACGCTCATAAATAATTGGGTTGGGAGGTCTTATCTCATCCTGCTTACAGTCCCGACCTCGCCCCATCGGATTTTTACCTGTTTGGACCACTCAAAGACGCCTTACGTAGAAAAAATATTGCTAACAATGAGGATGTTAAGGAAGCGGTGCAAAAGTGGCTTCGGGGTAAATCGAAATAATTCTTCGCCAAGGGAATTAGGAAGCTGCAAGAAAGGTGGGACAAGTGCATAACTGTGGGGGTTGAAAAATAGCCTTAATTTTGAAAGATTGAAATATAACGGTTTTGAGCTATAGCCATTTGTCTCTTTACTTATTAAATGACCCTCGTAATAATGTGATTAAGAGTCTAGGTAAATTGTTCAAAATTATTCGAAAAACTAAATTGTTTGATAATCAATTATTCTCAAAGATTCCTCCAGCTAAAACAGCAAGTACGTACAAACCTTTGTTCTAAACCTGCACCAATTACAGTTTTGATAAAAGTCACACTAAGATAATGTTTCGTTCATTTTTAACAGTACCTCTATAGAAAAATCCAACCATTCAGCTGGAAAAATAATTCATTCGACACTGACGCAGGAATTGCTCTGCTCATAAAGGTGTTAAATGTACCGGTATTTATTGCTGTTAAATTTATAGAATATACATGACACATATATACTTCCAGAACAATACCGACCTGACGAAGAACTTTTTTATTTTTTCACATTATGAGAAATTGTTTCGATACTGGCAGGTTTAGCTAAAGGTTTAGCTAAATATAATGCTGTAAAGGTTTGACACAGATGTTTCGAAAGCCAGATTTCATCTTTATCTGTAACTTGTGGAGGGTGTTTTTTTTTTTATTGAGAGTGGTAACAAAATCTTCAAAAGATATTAGACGTCTGAGACGTCTAATAGTGCCGTATTTCTACCGACTACAAAACTTCTACGCTTTTTCGCAGGAATGTCACCTCGGAATCACCAGTCGACATAACTTCGAAGAAACGTGATGAAAAGATGGTCGCAGGTACTTCTCAACAAGTTGTTAGGGTATGCTCATATATTTCTTCTTCTAAAAACTCTCTCCTTTTGTCCCAGTATCTTTTTCATCATGTTACCTATCTATTGCCATTGTTCTATGTTACTGGTCATGACGTCTAAAATGTATTTTTTAGAGAGCCTAATTCCAATACGTTCTTCTAGGTCTAGCCTGATCTCTTTCCATTCTCCGCATTGAAACAGGGTATGCTCTACTGTATCCACATTCGGATAGTACATGCATTCGTTTTGCTTATTTACACTTAATCTATTCAGGTATTCCATAAACCAGCCGTGGCCAGTTAAACATTGAGTAACATGAAATGTGACATTTCCTAGTTTCTGTTTATTCCATTTTTCAATATTAGGTATGAATGTGTACGTCCAACTTCTTTTTTCGCATGTTTCTCATTTTTTCTGCCACGTTTCTAAAGTTTTTATTCTAGCTTCTTTCTTTTCAGCTATGCTCTTACCTTGAACTTCACATCTTTCTTTAATCAGCAAGTTTATGGGTATAATTTCGAAGATAACGAGGCTGCTTTCCATAGATGTTGTTTTATACTCTCTGCAGATTCTGATCGCCCTTGGTCTTTGTAATTGTGCTAGCTTTTTTCGGTTCATTTTTCTATGCAAAGCATTTTTCCAAATCTCTGTTCCCAATAGTCTTCTCTTTGTTTCCGTAGCTCCCCCTTTATTAGGCATAAGTCTTATTATTGAGGCCAAAACCTTCTTTGCTTTAGCCACTGTGTTCTCCAAGTGTTTCTTATATGACAAGCTTCTATCTGATGTGACCCCCAGGTACTTTATACTATTTTTTGGTATAATAGAGAATTCTTCAATTGTTAACGTAATTGGTCTACTCAGTTTTTCCTACCAATTAATAATACCACTTTTGTTTTTTCCGGTGCTAGTTTGAGATCATTTATCCACTCGCTGGTTTGTTACAGAATGGGGTTAACCGAAATTATGAGGCCTTCTTCCGTTCTGTCTGTGACAATGACTGCTAAATTATCTGCATATGCAATGAGATTAATAGTAGGCATTGTCTTTATACGTAATATTCCATCATATAGGATATTCCACAGTAGTGGACCCAATACAGATCTCTAAGGAACTCCAGCTGCTATCATAAACTCTTCTGCATTATCATCTATGATTTTCCGGTCTGTAAAGTAGCTAGGCGACTAGTATTTGTAGGTATTTAGATATTTGGCGCCTTCTTAGTTATTTGAGTATGATGTTCCAAGAAGCTGTATTAAACGCATTTGACCAGAATTAGTAGAGCACACAGGCATTTTGATTTTTTTTTTTTCATTTCCCTTTTTACAACCTCTACGACTTCCTTGACTGCATGCACAGTAGACACGTCCTTTCTGAATCCGTAGTGCCTTTCGCACAAATCCCCTTTTTCCTTAAGTTCGTCATTTAATCTTGCTGCGATTATTTGTTCCATTAATTTCTCCATTGAATCAAGTTAGCATACGGGTCGATAAGAAGACGCTTGTTTTTCTTTCTTTCTGGGCTTTTTAAAGAGAACCAATTTTCCAACTTTCCATTTCGTTGGGAAAACCTTACTTTTTATAATTCCATCAGCCATCTCTCGGAAACGTTCTGGGAGTTCGTTAACAGGTAATTGAACTATTTTGGCAGCCGTTTGCAATTCTTTCATAGTCACATCCGGGATATCCTCGTCCTCCTCTTGTTCAGGCATCCACACATTTAATCCTTGCTTAGGAAATAGGGTATTGATAATGTCCTTTTTAAATTTTGGTGGTATATCCAACGGTCTTGATTTTAGTTTCCCCATTACTATTTGATATGCCTTTCTTCAAGGATCTTCTTCTACTGCTTCGCAGAGTTTCTCCTTGGCGTTCTTTTTGCTTTCTATTATTAAGCTTTTTAGTTTCTTCCTCGCACTCATTAAGTTGGCTTCTATCTCCTCCATCTCTGCTTGACTTACGATATGTCTGTTAACCCTTGATTTTTGTCTTCTTAATTTTTTGCATAACGCTCGTTGTTCAGCAATTTCCCCTGTCCACCAGTATTTTGCTGTTCTTTTTGAGTTCTACTTTTTCTTAGGCATTGATCCATCATAACCTTTTTTTAATTTTCCTATGATGTTGGTTGAGCTAAAATATTTTCCTGGTTCAAAATGTTTTTCTAATAAACGTTTAAATGTTAGAGCATGCAACTTATTCAAGTTCCATCCTGGTTTGCGCGATACATAATTTTTTTCGCAATCATTCAGATCTACTTCAAAATATATAAATTTATGAAGACTTGCCGATTCTTCGTCTATTACTTCTCATCTTTTAATTTCTTCTTTACCTGTTTCAGAGCTTAACGTAATATCAATTATCGACATATGCATACTCTTTATAAATGTAGGTTTATCGCCTCTATTCTGCACTACAAATCGGTTTTTGGCTATTCATTCGGTAAAATTATACCCTCTGATATCTTCTCCATTTGAGCCCCATTCTTGAGATTTGGAATTAAAATCGGCTGCGACTAATATTTTCCTTTTTGTTTTTCTTATGTTATTTTCTATTTTCTGTAGATGACTTTCATATTCCTGGATGCTGCAATTCGGAAAGGTATAATACGAAACTATTCTATTTGCATCCATATTGAGCCAACAATAGCCCTTTATTCTTTTCATTCTTCCTGTTCTTAATTTTGGGTTTAGAATTTTTATTGATGTATCGAAATTCTTATCCGTAACCCATGCACCTTCTTTTTGCAATAATTTTTTGTTTGGTTCGCTCATTATTATGAGATCGCAGTTCAGTTTGGTAGCCAGCATATCTATCAAATCGTGTGAGGTACGACTTCTGCCAAGGTTTATTTGTAATATTTTTAATAATTTTCCATTCTTTGTATTACTATTACCTTTATGACTGCGAGTGGTCCGAGGCCGACTCGCGCTAATAGGATTTTGATCACTTATTGTTAGCAGGAGTCGTTGTGGGGTCTATGATCTTCTAGTTCCCGTAAAGTATTATCTGCCTCTTGCGTCATATGTATAAAGGTGGCCATATCTTTTGTCATTTCTTCAGATTGTAGGCCTCTTCCATTTTTTCTGTTTAATTTCGATCTATTGGTGTAATTGTGCTTTGCTTGGATTCATCAGTATATTCACTTTTCTGATCTTCATTATCTACTTGCTTAGCGATATTTTGTCTTTCGGTCCTTTTCGCTTGGTTTAGTGCTTTTCTAAATGCTTTACATTTCCTCATACCTGCTTAATGTCCGGCTACTGCATACAGTGGACGAGACGCCTCATCATTGCAGTCTTTTGCATGATGATCTGCTTTACCATATCCAAAACAAATTCTGAATCTATCGGGTCCGTTGCGGTCGTTAGTACTGTGTTCGTGTGACCAGCACTTGTAGCATTTGAGTATTTTCAATTTATTTTCCACTTTACATTTGACCATCATAATTCTGATAGACTTGTCTTTTAATTAAATTTATGCATCTTCTTTTTTTATTACAACCGTAGCCGCCATCATGTTGTTCGGTAGGAGTCTTAGTTTACTGATTACATTCTCTTCATCCCATTTGCCAAGATATTCTGTCATTGCCTTTCTTTATGTCTTTTGTGTGGCTTCCATGTCTAATTCCTTAATATGCAAAACTTCACGGAGAGTGGATTACCCCACGGCAATTAGGCATCACTAAGCCCATTGTGTATCCTCCTAAGATAGGCACCTCCCAGCTCGTGGAGCCAGCCTACAGATTTGATGTAATTTACAACGTCGCCAAGAGATGCTTTTCTTATATCGGCAGGTGTTAGCTAATTCTCGCCGTACTCAAATCTTCTAATAAATGAGAGCGTTGGATAATTATAGAGGATATGCTCGATAGTCTCATCTTCTTGATCGCTATGGAGATGCTTCAGTAGGTACTTGGCAATAACCAGTTAGAATGCCTCTGGTCAGGCGCAGATTGTCTAGTCATAGTCAAGTTTTTCGTCGCTTTAGAAGTAGCTTAGGATAGTTCAAACCATCACAGATTTGATGCAGAAGTAGCCTATGTTTTATCAATATTCCTTGGGGACAACAGTCAACTGAAAAAGTATCCTATCTCAAAATTAAATTTGAAATTAAATGCAGAACTATCCTATCTTAAATCATAAACAACTCAAGGGAAATTTTAATCAGAGGTTTGTTCTGCAAAAATAACTACTACAGAGCAGACCTAAGTCTACTGTGCAGGTCTAAAATAGGAGTATTCGATATCCAGCTTAGTGTCGAGTTAGGTTAGTTTTGTTTACAAATAATAGTAGAAAATTACCGCGACTTGAAAATAAACTTGTTCTGACTTAAAGAATGTACAGTTAGGAAAAACTATCAATTTGGTAAAGAAAGATTGACAGACAAAAGATATAGATCTAAAAAATATTAAATTTCAGAAGTACTACTCAAAAATATCGATATCAAAGAAAAAAAATTTGATCATCAAAATTTCTTGTGTCAGAAAAGGGCATATTTCCACAGTATCACGAATTCTTTAAAAACCTTCAGTGTACTGCACAAGGAGAAAAAGATTCGGAATAGGATTAGAAATAAGTTTGCAAAGTTTGCCTTCGGTTTGTTTTTTAAGTAAGTTAATTTTAGTTTTAAATAGCATAAGTTATTTATACGATTATAATATAGAAGTAAGTTCATTTACGTTTTTGTAACGATATTCATTTAATTTCTTTTTTTTTTGTAAAATCTTTTGTTCTTATTAGTTCTCCTTCTCATTAAAATTAAAATAGTTTTACAAAAATGTTAGTTACTTTAAAAAATAAAAAAAAAAACGCACAAAACTATCCTATGTAACTTATCGTTTATCCCTGCATATTCTATCTGATTGCAAAACTATCCTAAGTCACACGTCAGATAACACAAACTATGCTATATCCAGATTTTTCAAAGTACTGTAATTTTTATTTATTTAAAACAGATTATTATAATTTATTTACACTTTATACTAATTAATTTTTTAAGTTTGTTGTTTTTTCTTGAAATAAATTATGTTTTATGATTTTTTTCTACACCCGTATTATAATAATGCACTTATATGCCCATAATCCGTTTCATAACAGATTTTTCATTACGTTACAGATTTTTAATCAATGCGCTAGTTCAGTGTGATGTCATTTTGGTTCCACTGACATTTAATTCTAACCAACTTTTAACAAAAACATCAATAAATTTGACATATACGTTTTTACTGTTTTTATTTTATTTCAAAATATTGTTTACAGGTCATAAAAAATAGTTTAAAGGTATGTAATTGGTAACTAAACTATTGTATATTTGATGCATGTTATCTACTTACTTTAGGAATATTTTTATAAAAGTGAAAAAACGATATAATTTAGGTAAACAAAACGAACAAAACGCACTCAAAAAATCTACTGTCACTTTAATTCTCAGTGGAACCATAATTACATCATCACTGAACTAGCGCATAGAATCCTACAATTTTTCAATCAAACATGCTGTTTGACGTTTGTCCTAGGTTCCTATGTAATTGTTTTAGTTGTTAAAACGTATTAAATTTTGGTAGATAGCTAAACTTCGATAATTATATTATCAAATTGTCTGATATCAGCGATATAGAAGACATATCGGAGAAAGAAGAAATTGCAATACAAAATATTTTGCCCCAAAAATCTATGGTAATACCAATATCCGAGGTAATACCATTAATTACAATTTTGTAGAATTTTTTATAGAAATACGAGTAATTACTGTTATTGTGTTCAATACCAATATAAGTATAATATTTGTAGTTCTTAATTATTTATCGGGTGTAGAAAAAATAGCGTATGCAACTCTCATGTAATGGTTATTCATACACTCGCATAAACCATACGAAACTCGCCTTTGGCTCGTTTCGTATCCCGGTTAATGCAACCATCATTACATGATCGTTGCATAATATACTATTATCACACAGCGTCAAGACAAAAGGGTGCTGTAACATATAATTCAATATGATCGTTGTTAATAAAAAAAAAGTTGAATCATATAAAATTAAATGTATATAATTCTTTAAAGCAATTACCTATATTAATTATTTAATTATTACATCATTTTCATATTTTACAATGAATCTTAAAAATATAAAAAAATAATTTTTTAATACTTAAAACGTTCTATAATATCATTTTTGGTATACCAATTAACATTATTTTTAGTTATATATTTTTGGAGTATTTTCTCTAATCCACCTGCTGTATTTTTTCACATCTGTGTATACACTGGGCACTCCACGACTTCCACATTGATCTGAACCAAATGAAAGTATCCCAACCTAAAAATAAGAATATGTTAGGGACAAAATTACTAACTCAAACTCGTATAGAAAAAGTTTTACAATATTAGAATAATTAAGTTTTATACTTTTCAAATTGCAAATTACTCATAGATATATAACCAAGATAGATAGGATTATTCACAAAATTTCTAGTCTCAACATTGGCGTCTGCAGCAGAAATACAATAATCTGATTGAACATTGATGTCAAGTTTACGGTGTTTTTAACAGTAGCAATGTAAATGCTACTAACAGTTTAAAATGTGGGTGCCGAAAACATGGCTTAAAATATACAAATTTATGCTCAAATTGTAATGGTTTTGAAAAATGCACCAATGTGGAAGAAAAAACCTACGAGGAAGTTAGTGATTCAGATGAAATTGTGGATGAAGGACCAATTCAGACTAAAAATAATATTGGATACGAAGACGGTGATGGTCTTGAAGATTTCGAAGATCTACTAGAATCGGGAAGGTTTGTCGAATCTAACGATGAAGAAATGCCACCGAAGAGACAAAAAGTAATGGATAAGTAATTAGGGTTCAAGATAAGATTTATAAATAAGAAGATTAATGCATTTTAAAATATTATTATGAATAATAATAATCAGTATAAAGTATCTAATTTCAATAGTACGATTTACATTTCTATTCATATATTATGAGATTTTCTATGACATAAATGAAATTAGAATTTAATAAATCAACTTTTTGACTAAAAAAATTGCAACAATCACATTTTTTAATTGAAATCCCCCCTTTAAATCCTATCTTTAATGTTTAGAACAACTATTTTCGCATGTTTCTTGCAATTTTTATGATTTATGGATTTGTAATTTTTTTGTTTATCAATGTAACATAGAATATGACGTTTTTCAAGTAATTAAAGTGTCAATTTTACTAAATAGCTCAAAATTGTATGTAATGATTAAAAAAAAATTTCGGATTCGAGTTTTTTCTTTTTTTGCATTTTCTGAGAACATTTACCATAGTTATGTATATATATTTTTTACATTATCAAAAAGAAGATATTTCAACGAACAAAAAACTCCCCGACTTCTTAAAAAGCTGATATTTTGAAGCGAGAATTTTCGATTGAAAATTAGGGTGTTTTTTCGATATTAAGTCAAAATAAGGTGAACAAATAAATATTTCAAATCAAAAAAATTACAGTGTCTTTAGGATATAAAAAGCTAAGTTTTCACCAAATTTAGAGAAAAAATTTTTTTTTTGCATAAGATAAAAATAAAATACCAAAATTTGAATTTTTCACTTAATTTTGAGGTTGAGTGAAAAAAGTGTATTACAAAAGTTGTAGGTCTCTTTATTACCTACAACTTTGTCATTTAATATTTTTCCATAGGACGTGTAGTTTTGTCGGAAATCGAGATACACCGTTTTTTACCCTTAAAAACTCACCCCCTTCCACTTCCCGACCTCAGATCGCCCGTAAATTATTTTTCCTTTCATTTTTGTTATATTCTCGTCCTTTTTTAACGAGTTTCATCCTACTATTATTTTTTTTGGTTTCAAAAATTATCGACCCTGGTCTATGACATTAACGTTGCATCGTATGTCCCTTAACTTGTTTGAATGTGATTCGGAGCCGCCCAACGAATGTCGTTACGTCGATTCAACTGCAAAAAACGTTCGTCAGCATCGGTCCTTTAGCCACCTGCGCAATCTGTTGCAGTACATATTAACTGACGTCACTTTTCAATAATGGTTTAAGATACAAAATAAGGTCGACCTTCAGCCATTTATTTAATGGATGAAAGTTTCTTTTTGATAAATAAAACATGTTTATAAATATACCGCAAATGGATTGCCTAAGAAAATACGGTCCAGACTATTTATTTTCTTAAGAGGAGTATTTACTTGGCTGTAGCGCGGAGCATGCAAGGGTTTCGTAGTACCCCACTTTTAAAGTTTATTTTTGACTTTTTCTAAAAGAAAAAAATATGTACGTATAGGTAAAGGTTAAATCTGTGCTCCTCTGGAGACACTTTTTTAAAATATGATTCAGTTTTTTATAAAAAAAAATACAAAACTCGACTTTTTTTAACCATTTTCTCAATTTTTTTTAGAAAAAACTAAATTGAATTTTGAAAAAGTGGTTCCAGAGGAGCATAGATTTAACCTTTACCTACACATACATATTTGTTTCTTTTAAAAATAGTCAAAAATAAACTTTAAAAGTGGGGTACTACGAAACCCTTACATTTTTTAAGAAATTAATATTTGTGAATGAAAACAATTTATAATATATTTTACTGATGTTTTACGAGGGATAAACAATTTTTACCTATTTGTACACCTTATTTTTTAGGTAAATCATTTCTGTAGTAATAAGATTGGCATATATATTATATGCAAGGGTTTCATAGTACACCAAGTTTACGGATTATTTTTTATTTTTATCAAAAGAAAATTTATGTAAGTACAGGTAAAGGCTAAACCCGTACCTCTCTGGAGTCACTTTAAAAATTTGAAAATTTGAAAAAATCTAAGAAAAGAATTAGAAATGTTAAAAAATGCTAGAAGGGAACAATATATTTAATTTTTGTCTACAGGAGGATTTATTTTTCTTACAATAAAAATAGAAATACATTGAAAGCTTTTTCTTCTAGAGGGTAACACCAACAAAATATATATCTTTTTCTACTATTTAGTGATTTGAATTAATTTTATTTTTACATATAGTAATTTCGTTCAATTATGTTAAAATAATGTTATCATTTGTTTTTTAAAAAAATTATCCGAAAATAAAAGGTATGCACTGAGATGTGAATTATAAAAATATGTTTTTGTTTAACTTTAATATCGCACGGTTTTTTTTTTTTTGTTTAATGAATATCTCTTCGAGTTAACAATAATTATTAATTCCAGCATGTTAACAACTCTTCAATCCGTTAAAGTATTGTAAATCATTTTTCTTGCATTCACACATGGCTTTGATCTGTCGCACTCTTTGAGGCGTGTTGCAAGAGAAGATTTTCTAAAATATAAGCCAATGTCTATGGATGAGAAAAAACGATTGTGACAATTGCTGATTGTGCAATGTGGCACAATAAAAGACGAAAACTAGCTTTAAAATTTGTAAAAAATCCAAAATCTTTTATTTATTGCTAAAGCCACCCGATATGGTAGGTATAGGCCATAAATTCAGAGCAAAATAAGATTTGGAAATTTATTTGCAAGAAAAAGTTTTTCAATGTGGACATTTTATTAAATCCGAATTTGATTATGTTGCTGCAAATCTGGATGGAATTAAAAAAAAAAACAAATTCTATGATAGAGTTGAAATGTCCATATGGAGCTAGAGTTCTGAATGTAGAAGAAAAATATGCAGTAGAAAAATAACTTTTAGGAAAAAGGACAATACCATTAAGAAGAACCACTATTGGTATTTTCAAATTCAGGGCTAGCTGTACGTAACACAAATGGATTTTTGCATTTTGTGCTCTTGGACTTCTGCAGGAATAAAAGTGGAGAAAGTTTCTCATAATGGCAGCTTTTGGGAAGAAAAGATACAAAATAAAATTCAAAATTTTTATATGCAATATGCCTTGTCGGAACTTGTTGACAGCGGAGCTAATAGAGACATAGAAAGGTACGACAATAATTCGTGAGAAATTTGGTTTTTTATTAATATAACGCAAGGAATCTTAAATTATTTTGAATATGTTTAATATGTTTATTAATTTAAGAATTACATTTTATTTATTTCTAAAAATGATAGTAGGCGATCCATTTAAGATATAATTAATGTCTTATTATTATATTACTCTTTTTTAAATTTAGGATTTTACCAGTGTCAGTGGCAATTGATGATATATAATTATTATTATACCCAATGTTTTAAAAGGCTACACCAACTAGTGGACCACGTTTTTAAGTCCCCAAATAATAATTTCAAGAATTTGATTTCAATAAGAAGTTTTACTATACAGGGTTTTGTGCCAAAACCAAGTCATTTATTGATATTGTAAAACACAGATGAGTAACTATCACATCAATAGAAAATTCACATATGAATCTTTAAAACGTAATTATTTATAACTTTAATAACTTCATACGGTCAAAAATTTTAGCAAACTTATTTAATTTTAAATATAAATTGATTTTCATTTTAACTTAGAAATTTTCGAAAAGTTCACTATATATTTTGGTTGTTGCAACTTTATTGCGCTTAAGTAGCGTTCAGATTAAAATATGAATTGATTTAAGGAGCTTAACTGAAAAACGGGAACTAATGCTTCCATTCCAAAAAAAAGTATTATGGTCAATAAAAGGAATTTTAAACTGTGATATCTTCAAGTTCTTATTTAAAACCTTTAAATATTAATATTATCATTAAACAAGATTTATCTTCACAAATTGATACAAATATCGAACCTAAGTTTGTTGACATAAACATTATTTTCATAATACAAATAAATATATCTCTGTTAAAGAATGGTCATAATTTATTTAATATATTCATTTAAACATGTTTTTGTTTTTTGTCTAGATGATATTTAATACTAACTTTTTCTATATAACTTCTTATACCCGACATTGTGAGATAAAAAAACAGACAATTAATTAAGAGCGTACTTATAATTTTTCGGGTATAGGAGTTTCAATGTTATATTGTTTCCCAAATTATGAAAATACTAAAAAATTTAAAAAGCCAATTAAAGATTGTGTTAATATCTACAGAAGAACTTGCTTGACAACATCGTGTTTCTTTTTTGGAAACAGAGAACAGTCAAAAATTATGAAAATAACAATATATTTTTATTTCAAAACGGATTAAGGTATTTTGTACCTGTTAAAAAATTTAAGAAATATTCTGAAGAATAATTTTTTATAAAAAATAGTAAACTTTGATAAACATATACAATATTCTAAAGATAAATCACATTTTTGTGATTATACAAATTTTTTATTTATTTTTCCAATATAATAGGGATTGCCCTCTAAAGTATATATAGTGGCTCGCAAACAGTCTGCTTTTTTATGGAAAACTTTTTCTTGTTACTTTTTTCAGAAAATGTCATTCCTGATAAAACTTGATGTTTAATTAAACCTAAAACTTTATTTATTTAAATTTCTGTACCATAAATATAAATTTGGCTGCGCAGTGAACTAGGTACTCTTCTAGAAACCGAACCCACATTTTTACATATAAAATTAATTTAAAAAAATGTATATAACCCCATATAGTAGTTTTTAGTTAATACAATTAATATAGTTTATTAATGTTCAGCGATAATTGTTTAACACGGTGTCCAATTTAAAGGATTCTTTTTTTACTGGAAAGAGGGTACTTCATGGGTGGCCCTATATTTGGTCAAAATCTAATAATTAGGTCCATGAGAAAATCCTCAAACTCTTCATTTTTTATGTATGTTTGTCCGATTTCTATGATTCTTTTTTTTTGTTAGATATATAAATATAGTATATTATGTACCAACGGACTAAACTTTCTCTTTTAATCCCGCCTTTTTGTCGTAAAAATTTTTTAAGATGTTTACTAGTGACGTTCGTACCGGGTTTGAACTGAATATTTTTGCAGAAAAATAAGGTACGCCACTGCTTTTTCTAAAAACCAAAATTATCTTTAAAATCCTTATTTATTTTGGAGCAAATTTGGTTTATAGATGTACTTTCGTACGACGCAAACCTTTTCGCGTAAGAAAATAAAAACCAAAAATTTTTTTTTAAGTTTATTGAAACTGCGTTTGATATTTTGTTGTATCGACACTCAATTAATAAATACCCTGTATTAATTGATATTACCTTATTCGAAACAATCGTCTATTTTTTCGTTATTTGTATATTAGTTTTATTTTGCCCAACTTTCACAACTCTATGCTTCTAAATGTAATTTAATCTAACAAAAGCTATTCACTAAATTAAAATATAAAAATAATGTAAAACCGTTTAATAAATCGAACTGCGTTATAATAATATCTCACAATGCAGCAAGAAAAACAAATTCGATTCTGGTTTCCCTAATTTAGGTAACTCTGAGTCACTCAATAACTGATAAACGTCGGCAGCGGGGTAGAATTTTTCGGTTCCTTTGTCTAAACATCGCGCGTTAGAGTTTAGAATTATGTATCCCTCGTATCTACATGCAATTGTTAAAATTATGAATGAATGCGGATTTTGTTTAGTCTCGGAAGTAAATTTGTAGTATTTAGGCTCCACCCTCAAGTTGTAATTTTTATACTTACTAAACTACCGTTGCCCCGCAGGTCTTTCAGTTTGTAATGTAAATTTTCCTCTTAAAGTAAAAAAAAACGACACCCTGTAAAGTATTCCTCAGATGCTTCGACTATGCCCAAACTTTAATAAGTTCACCGCAGGACAAATTAAAGCTTAAGTTTAAAATTTGGTGTTTTTTCTTCATCCGTTTTTGAGTTATCTCAAAATTTGAAATTTGCACTTTTTCTCAAATATCTCGAATTAGGTCCATATTAGGAAAATCATGTATAGGGACAAAATAATAAAGAATGACATTATAAGCAATAGTTTTGATGATTCCTACACTTTCCTTATCTGTACACAGAAGGGAAAGTAAAAAATGGCCGTGGCCATATTTTCTTAGGCAACCCATTTGCGGCATATTTAAAAACATATTTTATTTTATAAAAAAAAATTTTGTCCATTAAACAGATGGGACTACCATGGACTCCATCGCCTAGGATTTGCTGGGATTATGGGACGTTGAGAATTGTCACAGTGATGTTGAAAATTGGTTCACATTACAGCATAACAATAATTTATGGAATAGTCTCGTGACGTTTGAAGAATATGGCTTTTAAAAATAATTCAAAATAGACAAACCACTGACCAACTATTTTTTAAAAATTTATAATTTTTAATAAATATATTTATACCAAAATTTCGATACATAAATGTACCCAATTCATTTTATTTAGTACCTGATAATTTGTATTTCCATGTTTCACTATCAACGGTGCTCCACCAAAACCACTACAGGCATCGTTTCCGCTCTCACCCCCTGCACATATTTGTTCATCACTAATAGGCAAAGTCCTCCCATAAACCTGAACACACTGTTGAAGACCTATAATTGGTAATTGCAAAACTTGCTGTTTTGAAGGGGTATCTAAAAAATGTTTATTTTATTAAGCAAAGGATGGAAGAAAGGTGAAACAATTCGAGAAAATTTTAAGGTTAATTTATTATTATATTCATTCTGCAATCGGCGAGTTTATATTGAAACTTTTCTTGTTATCTACGTCAAGTTTACTCACGTATGTTTTACAAATTGTGATTGCTGGAATATTAAGGGTAGCACGTTACCAAATTGACACGCAACGTCCGAGATAATATGTTATTAAACATATGTTCTGATTATACTCACAGCAAGTGTGTGGTATTCGTCAAGATTATTATAATCATTAACATGAACAAAACTTAGGGATTATCTCCACATTCCTTGCACCAGTAACTTATTCAAAACGTCTAATGCTGCTAACTTTTAATCAATTAAAAGTTTAAATTATTCTGACATTTGGCAATCTTAGTATAGATACTTATTATAAGACGAATTATCATTAAATATTCTTTTCAAAATGACATTGCACTTATTTATAATATTTTTTGAAATGAGTAATCTTCTAGTAACTCTAAAAAAAACTATAAACTTTATTTCATCTTAACAGTATAAAATCTAGCAACAGACTTAACTGAAAATGAAAAGAAATATCTTACAATAAAATGTGCATAATTTGATAAAAGTTAAGAGAATAGGGAGTATAGAAAACTCAGCATTCTTTTAGTTAAGGCTATATATTATATAGGAATCGTCATAATAAAATTTATGTTTGATTATTGGTAAATAAATATTTATAATGATTTAGTAGAATAAACTTATAAGTAAAATGATGATCCTGGTTGTCTGTCCCCTTTAAACCAGAGAACTGTGCTATATTTGATCTGTTTAATGGAGGAGGCGATATACCAAAGTTAATATTACTATGCCGGAAGGTATCATAATATATTTACTTATCAATGTAATCATAATAGCTATTTATGTAACCAGTTACCTTATTTTATGTAACTAGTGAATCTTTGCGCGATAAGCAGAGCAAGGTCCCGCAAAATGAACGAGTTACACAAAACGGCATAATGTTCAACTTTATGTAACGGTTACATTTAAAATAACAAAATCGCGTACGTTATGTTTAAAATTTTACAATAATTTCACTACTAGTAGATATCGGTAGTAACAGTTTGAAACTTTACCAATATTTTGAGAATTTTAATATTTTTATTGGGGATAGGTGACAAGGAAGCATTTACTCTAAGCATTCCATTGTGTGGAAATCGGTATCTACTGGTTAAAGATATGGTTACAGACAACAATATGAATGATACATTCATATTTTTTTCTTTAACCATAACTTTTAAAGAATCAAAACATAAAAGTTAAGTGCAGTTTAAATATTTTATAAACTAGAACCATACTTACATGTCTGTCCAGCAGCTTTCCCCCAACCAACTAAGAATGCATTATTGCTAGTCACCGACCAGGATTCTGGCAAGCATATCGGTTGTGTAGTAACTACAAAAAAATTTTGATTATACTTTTCCGTCAGTCTTGGCATCGCGATATGGCTCCATATCTCATATTGCACAAGTTATAAAAGTAATTTTAAAAAACCAACTTCATAATCGTGCAGATGCCCCTAAAATTGATATTTTTGATTTTCTCATAGATTATCAGATCCTGACTAATTGTCAAAAAAAGAATTATACAAATCGGACAGCATGGTAAAGAATTTTCGCTGAAAATACTTAAATAATTAAGAATTTGATGATTTTCTTATGGGCCCCATTATTAGATCTTGACCAAATTTATCTGGGTCCACCCCTTGGATACCATCTTTCTAACAATCATAGACATCGAAGTAGATTATTATCTCTGAACATGCATAATAAAAATATTCCGACGAATTGAGAAGCTCCTTCTTTTTTGAAGTCGGTTAAAAATAGTGTTCATGGAGTGACTGCATTCCAAAATCCTTCCGTGAATGTTCAAAAATTGAAGGTAAGGGGCGGGTGTGATAGTTTAGCTAGATATCCAGATGTCCCAAACATCCAATAACAAACATTGCGTGGACGATGCGCTGTATGGATGGGAAACCCCGAGTTGCCTATGCACCACCCAACACAAAAAGCTACATTACTCAGGCATCCATTTGGAGTGACCGTGAATGAACAGTGTTCAAAAATTACAAACATTTTTTAACAAGATACGTCAGTTACTCTTACAACCCACCCTGTATAAATAATGGAAAGAAATGATAACATAAAAATAACATCATAGTTCATCATTCGATCCATAAATAAAATAAAATTAAAATAATATTTCAATCGCATAAAAAACAATATAGAACCACATACAATATAAAAGTTATTTTAAATTCGACTCATTTCTTACTAACAAACAACAACGGTCAACAAGCAAACTGCATCTCTTTCATCGTATAATTCTATCTCTGTAAATGATTAAAAATTGAACGCAAGCCAACGTTCAAATTCCGTTCAACCAATGATGACTCGACACCGTAAATCAGCAGAGCTTGTTTCTTGCCAAGGACAAACAGGTCGACGGTGCGCTTTCGAGTCAGTACTCAGTACTAGTGTTGTGAATATCCGTATCTTTTTAGTATTCGGATAATACGTATTCGGAACCAAGAGATATTCGGATTCATCATCCGGATACGTATCCATATGTGTGAAATCATAATACGCAACCGTAAATTTACCACGACCTTGGGAATCGGAATCGGGCAGTGTTGTCAACCCTAGCAGAATTTATGTTTGAGAGTGAAGTAACAGGAGCTTTTAATGTTTTAGAATAATAAACACAAGATAAATCTCAAATATTTTGTTTTTTATCATAATATCAGAAACAAAATTTCTCATTTATATTTATATAACTTCATGTTACCTTTAAAATATGCAGTGCATGCCGACTAACCGATTATGAATTGCAAAAACGCTAGACGATTCCGAATTCTGATTTCGTATCCATAGTTCGTATCGGCTGCCACCCGCAAAACCCGAATCAACTCTGTCATAACAGAACTTGCAGCATTCGATTCGTGTATTACGATTTTGTTTCTGTTCTTTTTGATACCGAATTCGTATTCGAATTTACACTATTGATTCCGGAATATCCGGATCATTTTAATATTCGGATTCAACGGATTTTTGGATACGTATTCTTACATCATTACTCAGTACAAGCTAATTATCCTCCCTCCATGGTACAAGCCAGAATCATTCTCACACTTGACCAGTAAGGTTGTATTTTTTGCTCTTTGCCGAAAATCGGCATAAAATGTTAGTAACAGACGTGTAATTACCACATAATCTAATCTACCAATTTAAGTTTTAAGTACAGTGTAAAATTGTTAATTGTATTAGAGTTTATAAGTTTAAATAAAAACGTAAAAGGAAGGTACATCTTTAATTTCAACAGGGGGAAGTGAATCCAAAATCTAGAAGTTGGGGCTCGAACCACCTAAAGAACAATACAGTCCACAACCAAAGGGAAGTGTACGTGAATTGGAACCGAGAAGAAAAGTTCCATAGCCCGAAACAAACAGTTTCTAAACGTAACATCCATTTGGATGCCATCTATACGGATTCATTCCATTTGGAGTGAACGGAATGGAGCTTTTTGAAGGTAGATTTCACATTACAGTATGGCCCGAAATAAACACTACTGAAACTAAGTTGGCGATGTCTCTTTGCGCTCGCTGTCATACTCAAGTTAGCTAGTCTAGTCCTGTCAAGTAAACCTTTAACAACTAATTAGTAGTGCCTAATGGTTAAGAATGATCTTAGGTACAGAGAAGAAAGTGTTTCTGGTAGTCTTATTTTCGCTCATACGGAATCGCCGACGACATTATGGTGCAAGTCCGCGATACGTTTGTGATCAATTCTTCCTAAACTTGGAACATCGTTATGAAATCTGTCTTAAATAGGGTTGCCAGACGTCACGCTTTTGGCGTATTTACCACGCTTTTTGACTTGCTTGTACGCGCAACGCCACAGTACAAAAATGCCACGCTTTTTAATTTAAAGCTGTAAAGGAATCGGATTTATACAAAAATAGACAAATCTACGGGTTCAGGACCTTCTTTTTTTACGAAAAATAAGCTGAGGACCATTTTTTTTAGAAATTTCACAAAATATGGACCTGATTATATAAAAATGCTTTGGTACCTATTTGAACCTAATGCTCTGTCGTCACGGTTGTCACGCTTTTCACTTTCAGAAATCTGGCAACCTTAGTCTTTAATAAGGAGGTGCACATTTGGAACATGTACTAAAATGAGTAAAATGTCAATAATAATAATTTCTTAAATAAATACAAAAAATTACAAGTTCAGTACTGTTTATTTCGGACAATACTGTAGTATATTCTATAACAAGATTGAAATAAAAATTCGATACGAGTAAAAAACTACGAGTGTTGGATTTTCATTCCAACAGAGTAACATAATGTACTTTATCAACGGACACAGACACTATAGGAGTAGAATATAGTGATATGAAATTTCGAACAAAATAATTTGTTTGGTAAGTCTCTATTTAAATTATTATTTGCATAATTTGGTAGTTCAGGAGACATTCCATGTAAGAATCATTATATTCACCAATTTTTGAATTTAATCGGTGAGTTCGAAAACCGTACAAATCCAAAATTTGACATATTAAAGTAAGATAGCCATTTTTTTTTTAAATTTGTCTCTTCATCGATTGATCTTAAATACTGTACTAGATACCTATCCGTTAACGTAGTAGAGATTACATTCGTGAAGTTAGGCGAAAAACCGTGACTCGCTGAAAGGTTTTTAGTATTTTACTCGGAAAGCTGATTTTGGACATGTACGGTTTTCGAACTCACAGATACAATTTAAGTTTGACTTAACAAATGCCACTTATCTTTATTCAGACTAATTCAAACTTAATAGTAATATGTAGCGCTGAACGTTCGGTCATGAAATTCATGACAATCTATGATGCGGGCGTGGTATTCACAGCAATTAGTCAGTAGTTATTGTATAATGAACATTCTGTCTCTAGAGTTAGAATGAAATACGTGCAAAATACATAAAAAAAATTCTTTAAATCCGAAGAGGAAGAATGTTTTATCCTCTATATTAATATAAGACGTTTCGGAAGAATTACATTGAGTAGTGGCCGTGGAGAAACAAAAATAATACGGTTTAACTTTCAATTGGCAACTAGTTCTAGTTAAAATTTTTTCTAATAAATTTCAAATAGAATGAACTCTAACTAGCTAACAAAATACCAAAATCTTGGTTACAAATCTATTACATCAATTTTTTTAAATGGTTTTCTTTAAAAACTGGCTTTTTTTGACTTACTACGGTTTTCTTTTGCGATGTGCTTATCTGTGGTAAAGTCATTTTTTGCTTATTTCATTGCTGTTAAGTGCTATTTATTTGGCTTTTCACCTTCGTTTTCACCAATCAATTTGACTTTGTGTCATTATTATAAAATCTTTGATGCACTCAAATTAAAATATAGAATAATTTAAAAATATTGTGACATATTGTTCATCCTTTTTTATTACTATGCCTACCTGTGAAATTTAGAGCTGATTTCAAAACAATTAAAGCAATATTGTGTCGATACGTGTTTTTCTCATAACCGGGATGTACCACAACATGACTAATAGATACATCCTGTGTCGGAAGTCCACAGAACTCCAATCCACAATCAATTTCTGTATTACTGTTCCATTCTCCCACGCGGACGATGTACCTATAATTACAAATTACATAGTCGATTATGTGCACAATAATAATTAAAAGCTTTTATTTGTAATTGAAATTATACTGCTAGTTTGTAATGGTGACAATTTTTTTATTATTTCTAAGGTTTCGATTTGGATTATGGAACGCATCAATTATTTCTGAAACGGCTTAAACGATATTTTTATAATTTGGTTTGTGGAGAATTTATAAACTTCCAGTGCTATTTACATAGTTCTCAGATTTTCCGTTTTTCCAAAAATATAACGAACTTTGTTATTTAAATTGTTATATTTAATTTTATGAATTACCTAATACATAAAAAATATTCAGAATTTCTTATTCAATCTAAAAATAATAAAATATACCGAGTGATCTATTAGAAACAACAAAGCACGCAATATTTTTGGAAATTAGGAAAAACTGACAACAACGTATATACCACTTGAAGATCGACCATATTATACGACCCCCAAAATCCATATTAATTGTTGTGTTGCTAACTTAAGCTTACTACTATTTCGCCCCTAGCCACAATGACACCTTCATCAAATTTACTGTCTCTCGGTCACAACCCTATAGAATACTTCTACTACTACTTTTTTTTATATTTATTTTCAACAATTTTTAACATATTATGTAATTTAAAAATAATTACACAAGTTAATAATATAATTTCTTTCTGGTGAATCGGATCTGTACGCATTTGGTTGTTTCAAGGTTAAGCGAGTGACGGTTTTACTATGATTTTCATAATTTATGAACCTTTTGAGATGTCTTTGCTAACTGATTTTGAAAATGTGTTTTTCAAAAATAAAAATAAAAATGAAAATATACATTCGAAGTCACCTCAAAACTATAGATGACATTAACAAAACAAATACTCAATGGAATTCTAGGACTTCTAAACCAACAAGACTAAAAAATCTATTTATTAAGGTAAATAATAGGATAGAACTTTAAATATACCTGATGTTTAATATTAAAATCAAATTTTACATACTCGTCTTGTTTTTGGTACAAGTAATTAGTTATTTCTCAGTTTGAATTTTTCAGAAAGGATTGCAATTTATGATTACAAAAAAAACAAACTGAACTGTATACATACAATTTTTTACGATTATATCAAAACTACTGGCAAAACTGACAAATTTTTTTACAAACAAACCCAACTTCTTTTGCAGTGTTCTACCTATCCCAGCAACGGAGCCTTTTTTTTAAACACCCTGTAGATGCATTAAGGGTAAATGAAATAGGTACTCATCAGTATCACCAAAATGTTTTACTAACAATTTCCAGAATTGGTGTAATTTATATTAAACATTTTTAGTTAAAAGGTGGCAATAAATAATATTACTTACAATTTAAAATTGTCTGCTTTTGCTAAAGCACAATGAGCAGCTGTTAGAATTATCTTTGAGCTTATTATAGATCCTGTACAAGGATATTTTATTTCACCATTTAGTAAATCTAAAAAAAAAAAAAATAATAAATTAGTGTATTGCTGATAATTCCAAAATATAAACTAAGATGTATATCTTCATGAATTTTTTATCGGGTGGAGATACTTTTATTATTTTTTTAAGACCGACTAGAAAGTATACACTTTCTGCTCAATTTTTCGTCTACAAAATAACTGGTACGTTTAGATCTGACATTTATTGCATGAGGTTTATGTCTGACATTTATTCAATCCAGTGTAAACACTCAAACATATATATCTCCGAGAGAAATTTTTGTGTGCTTACACTGGACTAAACAACTGTCAGACATAAATCGCATGCAGTAAATGTCAGATGTAAACGAACCTTAACGTTTTGCCGATCAAGACCAGAAAGTAGACGTTTTCATTTTTCCGATTGCTGTTTGATTTCGTTACTATGGTAACAACGTTCCGATTTATTGCCAAATGACAGTTTTGTTGATTTTTAATTTATTGTTTATGTCAAACTTGTTTTCGCAAATTTAAAAATATGGATTCAGATTTTAAATTATCTGACATAGAAAATTAAATTCCAGATGAAATTTTGGAAGCAGAAAAAATGTACATTTAATATAAATATTCAATGTATTAGGTTAGTTGATGCAGTTGTATCCATTATCTTCTTTATTATTATTTGTTAATCACTTTATTAAATAAATAATTATAAAGAAAAAAGTTGGGTTGGGTCTTAAGCAGGTCTCTCCAAGCTTCCAGGTCTCGCCTACGGCTCGTCCTGGAATGGAATATGCTTGTCTCGACCTGGAAAACAATACTTTCCGATCTTGTAACATAAATTACTATTTCCGTTGTGCTTAAAATAATAATTTTTTCTCTTAATCCCAGAATAATAACCAACTTTACTACTATGTACCATTAGAAAATGTAATGATTTAAAGAAGAATATTTATGAAACCAGTTGTGAAATGCCTTATTTTATGTAACGAGTCAATATTTGCGGGACTAGCAGAGAGAGGTCCCACATCATGAATGACTATTCATATACTAAATGTTTGAAAATAATAAAAAAAAATTCTTAGAAATGCATTTTTCTATATGATTATGTCCAGGGGATCATGCGTTTACATATAAGGGAGCAGTTTTCACCTATCAAATTAAGGGTTAATTGAAAATTAATAAAGTTTGGATTAATATGCCGGCCATTATGGTCCAAAAATTAATTTCAATAATGTCGCGTCGTTGCCAAAAAGTTATAGCTAATAATGGATACCCTATTAATTATTAAGAACCTGTTTTTATGTTTGTTTAACCCTTCAACAACATTTGTGATATTTGAGTTGTTAAATCAAATAATAGTATATTATGCAACGATCATGTATTAATAACCATTACATGAGAATTGCATACGCTATCTTTTCTACACCTGATAAATAATCAAAAGCTATAAATATTATATTTATATTTGTATTAAACACAATAACAGTAATTACTCGTATGTCTATAAAAATAACCCCTTTTTTTGGGGTTATGGAGCCAGACTTTTTCTGACAGATATTTGAAAATGGCTTTATTCATTCCCTCTACCATTCCATCGGATTATGGGTGTAATGCTGTGGTTCTGGTTTTCTTCATGCCTAGTCTGTCACAGATTTCACGGAAGAGTTGACTTTCAAAATTTTTGCCTTGGTCATTGTGGATCTCCAAGGGCACTCCAAATCGACAGATAAACTCATTTATCAATACATCTGCAACAGTTGCGGCCTCTTGATTTGGAATGGCGTAGACTTCCTCCCACTTTGTAAAATAGCCCATAACCACCAAAATGTATTTATTACCATCCTCGGTCACGTGGAATGGTCCAGCAATATCTAAGGCGATCCTCTCAAATGGGCTACCAATGTTGTATTGCTTTATGGGAGCCTTCCTTTTTTGTTTAGGTCCATTACTCATAACACAGCTGGTACATTTCTTACACCAGTCCTTTACATCATCGGAACTGTTTATCCAATAAAACCTTTCACGAACTCTCTAAAGGGTTTTCTTAACACCGAGATGTCCTCATGATGGACTGTCGTGTAACACGAAGTACTTCGACTACTCTAGTCTTTGAAATGACCAACTGTCTTCTGTTTTCGGAACTATCATCATTCTCTAGTACTGGCTTTAATAAGCCTTCTTCTAGAATATTAAGTTGAGCCTCAAAGGCCAAATAAGCCAGAGAGGGACTTGGAGGATTAAAGCCTGACCGAATAATGAAATGGCTCACATTATCATATACTTTCTGTACTGGTTACAGAAAAGAAAAAAGTGAACTTTGATAGTACACGTCAGGAAAAAATATCGGAGTCGTTCACACGTATTAAATATAAAGTTTGATCAAGTAATTCCCTATTGGCCAAATTATTGCTACATGGTAAACCTGAGGATATCTAAATCGGTTGTAGAATGACAAGCTCCTTAACTTAACATGCATTTTGATTTCTGTTCTTATTTCATTGCACTTTGTCAGATATTTTAGTAACTTGGAGTTGTGACTCTGCACCCCGTATTACACCTTTAGAAAATTTAAACTTAAGAAAATTTTAATATTCTTATAAAATAATTAACATTTTTTACACAATAATTTATTTCTAATTACAACATACTTCTATATCCGATTCTTGCTACCCAGGGAAACGCACCAATACCTTCATAACCATCACCTTGAACTTGTGAAAATCCACATCGAAGTCCATCTATAATTTTTCCAGGTAAAATTGTGTTTGCTTGGCTTACCTGTGGACAGCATACTAAACCAGGTTCGCCGCAACCCAATTCGCCAACTCTAAAAACAAATAGGTACAATGATTGCTGCTATTCCTCTACTTGGATAAAATATTGGAGAAGGTAAATCATATGCATGATCAACACTGTTGTTTATGAATGAAAATTCCGACAGAGTTAGCATAGGCGGCGTATCAAATACCAAATAATTATTTATTATTTATTAGGTATTTGTTAGTAAACTTTATTAAATTTGTTTGTCAACATCTTTATTTAAACAAAGACGATGCGTTAAATATTCGTTTTTGATAGTTTTCAAGAAATGAATATATTTATTAACTAATGACTTCGTTATCTGTGTTTACTGGTTTTAAAATGTGTTTCAAGTAAATAAACGACAGACGGGTTAAAGATTGAATATTGTCAGCACAGGCACAAAGACAGTTGAAAACTAACTTTCGACGAAGTTAGATTAGTATCGCTTTAACTATTTACGATAATTATTTTATATTTTATAAACACTTTTTTGTATAAGTGCTTTTTTCTGATATACGAGTAGGTGTTCATGTTTGTGCCTTACAATTTGGTAGTGGTAGTGCATATTCGAGGAGTTATATTAACATTTATTGTGTAGTATATTAGGTAGGTACTTTAAAAGTTAATTAAATAGTAAAATATTGGTGTTATAAATTTAATAAAAACAATTTATTAGTAGTGAATGCTAGACACACGGTATCTAAGATATGGCAAGACTCTTCTGTAACTAGTCATCGCCAAGCTTTTATAGAGGGATTATCTACAGGTTTGAAAGCACCATCAGGTAAAGGACAGCGCCTAATAATTGTTACCCATATCGGAAGTGACAGTGGATTTTTGGAAAATAGCGCTCTTGTGTTTATATCGAAAAAAACAGGAGACTACCACGAGGACATGAATGCGGAATGCTTTGAAAAATGGTTTACTGAAGTATGACAGCGTGTAGAACGAAATTCAGTTATTGTACTAGATAACGCTTCTTATCACAGTCGACGACTTGAACGCATTCCGATAATGTCCAGTAGGAAAGCGGATAAGCAAACCTGGCTGCGGGATAAAGCAATAACATTTACTGAGGAGATGCTTAAAGTGGAATTAATAGACCTAATAAAGGAACACCGCCATAAATCTATTCAATATGTTGTCGACACAATGGCTCGTGATCGTGGTATGACGGTATTAAGATTTCCCCCTTATCACTGCGAATTCAATCCTATTGAACTAATTTGGGCGCAAGTGAAAGGGTTTGTAGCTCGAAAAAATAAAACTTTTAAAATAGCCGACGTTCAATGTTTATTAAAAAACCGGTATAGAAGGTATAAAACCTGAAGATTGGCATAATGCTATTTCTCATGTAATTAAGGAAGAAAATAATATGTCGAAATGGTAGTTGAACCTTTAGTTCCGACGATAAAGACGATTCCAGTGATAGTTCTGCAGAATCAATGGATTACGAAACTTCATAGATTTAGAATTCAAGTAAGTGATACCAAGCTTAATTTACATATTTTTATAATAAACAAAATACAATTATAAACATAGATGAATTATTATAACAAAAATAGATAACCAAACTATTTTCATCTAGTAATATTCACAAATACCCATTTAATTTGCCAATATAGTATTTCCGCGACACTGGAAGAGTGCATTTTGATATGATAACGATACCATTTGCAGTTTTAAGGCGCACCTACTTCAATATTTTGTTCTAGTATAATACCCCATTTAATTTTCCAATAGTGTTTCTATGCCACTGGCATATTTCCATATTTTAACAATAAACAAAACAAAATTATAAACATAAATGATTATTACTACAAAAATATATAACCAACCTACTTTCATATAATATTATTTACTATTACCGCATTTAATTTGCCAATCGTTTTTATACGCCACTGGCGTGATTCAATTTGGCAGTAAACATGCATTTATGACTAGTTGGCACGTGATTCCGATAACTTCTGCAGTTTTAAGCGCGTGATTCTATTTATTATGCTCTGGTATAGTATGATTGTTGTATGTGAACAGGAAGGAATCACCTTCTTCAATATTTTGTCCGAGTATAGTGTCCATTTAGTGCGTGTTTCCTATAAATTATTAGCATACAAATATTTTAAATGACAAAAAATATTTTGGGATTTTCTATAGTGAATATAGATAATCCTCTCTGATTCTGTCCAAAAATATTTGAAACAAAAACGTACATTTTTTATTCGAAATATATAATTTAAAAAGTAATAGTCACAGAACAAACTATTCGAAGATTAACTGACTACAATTTTATTTAAGAAATTAACGTTACATAAATACATATTTTGATGAACTATTGGTATGGTTATTCCTGTTATTTTGATTATAGTTTTAGTAGATTGAGGAAGAATCCAAAGTAAATATAAACGACACGGACGTAAAACATCTATAGGTGAAATAATTATATGTTAAACCAACAAAAAATGTGGGTTGATTATTTTTGAAGTGTATAATATGATTCCGGGAATTTTTCTGGTTGTCATTAAATAACAGCATTTGATCGGTTGTAAAATTTCCAATATAATATTGTTTTTCCTATTCGCGATTCAAATTAATTTTCGCGGGTCTGTCATTTGTCACCTATAAGTAGGATGTTTGTTTATTTACATGTGTTTGTTTTGGGCGGATTTTATATTTGTGATTTTTTTTAACTGTTTTTAGATAATATTCTCATTGTAATAGTGTTTTTGAGTTTTATTTAGTGTTAATTTAAGTTTAAGTCTCGTGCTTTCGTCATAAATATAATATTTATCATGTGTATGACTTAATTTGTTGGAAATATTCACCCAAGAACATCTAGAAATTTGTATTTACTAAACCCAGGACATGTTTTATTATGTGGTTTAAATGACATTTCAGGTACCAAATGTTTATTATTGATGAACTTATTTAAAAATCTTACTAGACTTATTCTTATATTATGAAGTGAATTATGTAGTACTTTGTATACATGTAAATGGTAATAAAACCGTCACAAATTAGATCACAGTTTGATTTTAAACAAAGTTTTGCAAAATTTCAATATTGTGAATTTGTAGATATCCATTTGTCGTAAGAAACAAAATTTTACGACTTGCACTTGGAAAATAATGAATAGGTACTTTAGTTTTGATTTTGTCATTAACACCATATAGATTGCAATTTGCTGGGGACTCTTTCGCAGACTTTATTTTTAACATAAACACATACTAAAAGAAATAAACAAATTTAAAGCTAAAAAGTAAGAAAAAACTCGAATTGTAATTGATACAAATTAAAATGTAAACAATGAACACAAACGCCAATGTTGCCAAATGATGAACTGATTTTAAAACAAAATTAATAAATGAACTGAAATTTAAAAAGAATCAATATATTAAATCGGTTTTTTAAAAAATTCTTAAATAAATATAGACAATGATTTTGCAAATTACTATACACCAATTTTGAATCTTAAATAAAAGGTCTTATCCACTTCTTCAAGAGCTAAAATCCGACGACGCAACGTAGCGAAATTTTGCTATTTCTGGCAACACTGAACGATATTCTACTTATAGGGACCTTCTACAAATTTTCTCCAGAGGGCGTATCACTTAGCTTGAATCGCGAATATATACCATTATTGACCCTGTTAATGACAACATACCCACAGGGTTGCCATATCTAAACTGTTAGATCCCACTGGTAGCCATTTGGACAGGTCGTTGGAATGCATAATTGGGTTAGTACCATCCAAGATAGCTGAATATTTAATTTTGTCTCACCCAAAAGAATATACAGGACATGCATTTAGACGAACATCGGCAACATTATTAGCTGATTCAGGAGCAGACATACTATCTCTAAAGAGGCATGGAGGATGGAAGTCAGCTAGAGTAGCAGAATGCTACGTTGAGGACTCGATAAATAATAAAATATCAAAACCTAGCTAAAACAAATTTAGGCAGTACAAGTAAAACTCCAAATACGATAATTTCGTCAAAGAAAATATCTACAAATGCCCTTCATGAATTTCCCATAGGTGAACCGTTGACAGGTACAACAACAATTTATCAACACATCAGTTGTGAGAGAGCATTGTACAAAAATGGATATTTCTGGTTCACCACAAGTGGGACCATATTTTAATAATTGTGTAATAAATAACCCAACATTTAATATAACAATATAAATAAGTTTTGTAAATCTTCTTTATTTATATAAAAATTTCGTGTCACGATGTATGTTCGCCATAAACTCCGAAACTACTGAACGGATTTTGATAAAATTTTGTAACCATTTATAATATGGTCCAACTTAAAAGATAGAATAGTTTTTATTCAATATTTATTATTGTAAATTAAATATTTTTTATATCTTATCTGGTGTCACGATGTATGTTCGAGATAAACTCCGAAACTACTAGACCAATTTTGATCAAACTTCATAACTATCTGAAATTTTTTCCAACTTAAAAGACATGATAGTTTTTATCTCAATTATTGGGAAAACGGGGGGTTGAAGGTTTGCAAGGAAGTATCGATTTTTTTTATAAGAAGGAACATGAAAATTGGAATTATAGCAACTAATCACAAATAAATAATGGTGTGTTTCAGGTTTCATATTTTGAGAGGGGAAATGGACGAAAGAGGGGAAATGGGGAAAGAAGAAAAGTGGAGAAATAGGGGAAAGGTATGGGGTTGAAAGTTTGTATGGGGGTATCGATTTTTTAAAGGTAAGAACTTGAAAATTGGAATTGTAGGTACTCATCATAAATAAATAGACATGTTTCAGGGTATTTAGAGAAACAGTAGGTGAAAGTTTGAATAAGACTTTCGGTTTTTTAAAAGTAGGAACTTGAAAACTGAAATTGTAGTAAGTAAATAATGACATACTTCAAGGTTTTTGGATTTTCACATATTAAGGAGAGTGGAAATGGGGGATATCATAAAAATAAATAAAAAATATTTAAAAAAAAATTTTATTAATAAAAATTAATAGAAACTAATAAAAATTAATAAAAATTAATAGAAAGTAATAAAAATAAATAATAATTTATAAAAATAATTAAAAATTAATAAATACAAATAAAAATTAATAAACTAATAAAAATTAAATTGATAATTTTTTTCAGGTATCGCATGAAAAAGTTTCTCACGAGTAACGAAAACTGTTATTCACTTTTAAATTAAGGTTTGAGAAATTCCAGCGAAGCGGGATCGGGTCATTTTGTAGAATATTTTTGAAGAAGCAATAATAATCATTTCATTTTAGTGTAGGGTAAAGTTTTTTGTTGGTTCAGGATAAAAAATAAACATAGTATATAAACCACGACAGTAAAGTAGTTTTCTAGGCATCACAAAGTGTCCAGGGTTGGCTTTGCCTCTCCTGTCCTTATCTTTACTCGGCCTGGAAAATAGTCACTTTACTGCCTAGGTATACAATATACCATTATTGTAAGTCATTACACAATACACATAGTTTGCTTTTTTTAATAATAAAGGAAAAAGAAGAAAAGAAAAAACAAACTTTTTTGTTTAACTTATGTTTTTGAGTTTATTCTAAATGGTGCTTTTAACAGATTAATAGCCGGTTGCAAAAGCGTTCGTTAAATACTCTTTTAAACGACAGACGTTAAGACGACCGTGATACATAACAATAATATTTGACAAAAGTTCTTGTAACCAGCTGTAAAAATTGAAATAAAACAGTCGGTTTAAAATCTATAAACGATATAATTTTCATTAATAATAATATATCTACATAAACTTACCTGTTTTTCAGAACACAATTATTATCTAATAGATTTGTGAAATAAGAACACGAAGACACAGGAACACATTGTGTATTTGCAGGACAAAATGATGATCTCTTGATGCGTCTTATTAGCTGGTCATTCCGGTGGAAACTGTGACCTGAAAAAAGTTATAAATTATAAAAACATATATCATATTTTTATTTATGTAAAATACTCTTTGACACAAAATAGTATTTTGCATTTGCAAGAGTGGATATGATGACTATATTGCACGAAGGCGATGTTTGAGCACGACGCCTTCGGCGTCTGAGTGCGATACGGACAATCCACTCGAGTTGTACAGTGTATTTTTTCTACAACCCACTAAAGAAAGAAAATCTAAAAATTAATTTAGGTCATTAAGGTATAATGACTAATTTAAAAATAATATATGACTCTTTCTATAAAATAAAAAATAAATTTAAGCAGTCTTCAATTAGATTTAAATCCCAGATCTTTCGCCTAACAAGCAAGTGCGTTAGTCTCGGGTCTGTTGACACACTCATATTTTTATTTCTATTATACTTCGGTTTGGTCCACTAAATCACATATTGTAAATACAGTTAAAAGAAATTGCCAAATTCTTTGTAAATACTTTTTATATTATTATCCAAGTAAAATTTCCTTAATTTTGTCAAGGGCCTTACTCATCTATTTGATGTCTAGAACAAAAAGGACCTTACTCGTCTCTTACTAATAATATACTTTATTTAAATAAAGTAAAAATCTTACATAAGTAAGTTTTTAGTAGCTAATTAATTAAATAATTTAGCTAAAGAGTGGACATTAAAATAAAGATAAACTATCTATAAACACTCTGCGACCTTTCTCGCCGACAGACGTGTATTTTACAATTTCTTTATTTTTTGCGGTTTTACTCACCGTCAGAAGTACCTGCACAAGTTATAACTTGTGAAATTCTTGGTAAATGAATTAATTATGTATGAAATTTTATTTAATCCATTGTAGTTGCCTTATTACAAGAATAGAAATATTATGCAAGGACTTTACTCGTCCTTTACTAACAAAATGCATTAATAATAAAAAGTAAAAAAGGCTTATCCTGGCATATTTTTCTCAGGTGACAGTATTGAGTTTATTACTCTCAAGAAATACAGAAAAATAATGTTTTCCTCGTTTGACTCTGACGATGACATTAATTCAAGGCAGGTAGTAAAGACGGCCGAAGTGTATGTACAGTCTGTTCGCTATACTTACGCGGGTTTCGGATTAAAAATTTTATGAGTATTTCCTGGTAAGTACCCGAAAGTTTGACCTGTTTTTTGGGAAAATATCAACTGGTTAAATGAAATGAAAAATAATGTACTACTTTTTAATTAAATAATAATGGAGAATCTTTTGTATAATTGAGAGCAGAATTAAACTTCTTCAATAATGGAGTCTAATGTAGCTATTATAAACCTAATAATAATTTTATATTACACTTCACACAGAAAATATGGTCTATGTATAATAAGAATGTTATTTAGCTCAAATAAAATATTTTATAACATAAAAATTTGTTACATGTAGAGAATTTCAAATGAAAAATAAAAAAATTGGTTCTCATAATATTGTTTTGCTATTCCCCATATATATTCGATGGGATTAAACTGGCAATGATACGGTGGCAGACGTAAAACTTGATGACCGTAACTTTCAATAATCTGATCCACAAAAAAGGTTTTTGGTTTTGCGTGTATATTTGCCAAGCATAATAATTCTGATTTTAATCTACAGGGTGGCTCACGCTCAACGGGACGGAGCTTTATGGGAAAACGACCAAAGATATAAAAAATTCGTTTGGGAAGAATACGTAGGTTACAGACGGCTACAATTTAAAATTTGTTAGATGTATACAGGTTGTCCCACATAAGAGAAAATATACAAAGTTATATTATTTTTAATGGAACACCCTGTTTTTTATTTTAGAATTAAAAACTACATCAAAAATAATGTCAGTTAACTAAAGGTTCCCTATTACTATTATTATTAGTTTTCGATTTATTTGAATTTTTAAGGAAAAGAAGTCTCCCAGAAATTAATTGTTTACTCTTGTTTGAATAATTTTTAATGAACTAATTTTTTTTTTCTTATGTGGGACATCCTGTATACATCTAACAAATTTTAAATTGTAGCCGTCTGTAACCTACGTATTCCTCCCAAACGAATTTTTTATATCTTTGGTCGTTTTCCCATAAAGCTCCGTCCCGCTGAGCGTGAGCCACCCTGTATATTGAGGAAATAGTATATGATCCTTTGTCAACCATTCTTAAATTTTATCAAAAGTCCAAGAATTCGTTGAACTTTTGTTTAATACTTCAGAATGGTAAGGTCCATTGTCTAAAATAATTACGCTGGGCTCACTTAAACCTGGGAGAAGTTTTTCATGCAACCATTTTACAAATATTTCTGTGTTCATATTATCGTGATAGTCACTGGATTTTGATTTAGATGAAAATATTAAATCAGCACCTTCTATAAAACCAGATTTCCCTTCTGCATGTAAAATTATGTGTCGCTTCCCTTCTCCATCGGTATGTTTGATGGACTTTACGTTATCATCTTGCCATATTCTCTTGGTTGCACCCCTAGAAAATATCCATGTTTCGTCTAAATATATAAAATTCGCCCCTTCTTCTTTAAATTTAGAATATTTTCTTAGAAAGTTAATTCTCTTGTGCACGACAGAACTTCTTTCACAAAGGGCCTTTCTGTTATCCTCCTTTTGAAATTTGAAACCCAAGTTATGTATCACTTGCCATAGACTTGTTCTGCCAATGTCTTCAAATTTTCTATCTATTAATTCCGAGAGAATTGTATTCAAGGTCACATGTTCCTTGTTGGCCCTCATTCGATAAATGGTATCACGAATTTCAAATTTCTTTCCATCTGGAATATCTTTCGTTTTCAATGATGGGCGAGTTTTGCGGTGATCTTCTTTCGGTAGTTCACTATTGTGATTTTGTAATACTCCTCTTAATTTGGTTTCACTAATTCCTAAAGCATCGCATACGCGTTGTTGTACAGACATTACCGATTTTAAAGGACCGCCATTTTCTTTTTCATCCGTAAAATACTTATGTACACTACAAATTAGACTATCTACATCTAACACACACCTAGGCATTTTTAAAATTTCCACTAAATTTACAATATACATACAATGTCAACACTTGCAAAGAATCAATTCAACTTCAATATTTGTAACAAATTTAGTACCTACCCTAATGTTATTTTAATTTAAATCTGACCATTAGGACAATTTTACCTAATTTCTTGGGAAGAGGCTTATCGGAACTGGTTGTCAATGACTAATTTGCATAATTTTGTTAATCCGAAACCCGCGTAAGTATAGCGAACAGACTATAGATGTAATAGACATAGAACCCCTATATTTAACAGATAATATTAAGACAATTCTGTCAAAATTCATGGTCCTTGGAAAATTCACAAGTAATTCACATTTTCAAATTTCTATGCATCGAAGATATCAAATTTACCCCAATATAAATGAAAAAGTTCAAAAAGTCGCCAAGGACTCTAAACCTCAATACTGAAATAAGTTTAAATATAATGCCAATCAATAAGATAGTAGAAAATTTTGGGTTTCCAGAAATTGACCTCTTGCGTCAAAACTAAATAACAAATGTAAGCTTTTTGTGTCATGGGAAAGAGACGCCGATTCTATACGGGTGGATGCATTTACCATAAATTGGTCTAAGTATTTCTAATAAAAACTATAAATAAGATCATAGAAAAAAAAAATAATTTATTGTCTAAACAGGTTAAACCCCAATTAGAGGACAAATGCAATAAAAAAAAATATATGTATACATTAGACTGGGCCAAAAAAATTGACTATTTTTTTTTTAAATATATCGAGAATGTCATTCAGGATAACAAAAAAAAAATCGTGAAAATTTGATCCCTTAATATTAATTTTAAGGGGTCCATTATCGCTATTTTTGATTTTTAGTTATAATTTGATGTTTTACGTCAGAAATGTCAAAACATTAAAGTGAAAAAATTCCTTTACACTTATTTTCATATAAAATTAAATTCTCTACAAAAAATTTTAATTTTTTCTTCGATTTTAATCGTGAATAACTTTTGAAGAATTAAATTTTGGCAAAAATTTTAAGAGACCTTTTTTGTAGAACAATTAATTTCCTTTAAGAATCCGACGTAAGCTTTTTTAAATATTCATTGATTCTTTAGTTACAAAATTTTAAAGTAAAAAGGACAAATCGATAAACACATCGATCTATTATAAGCTCAATTACTCGGAAACGGCTCGTCTGATGAAAATTTTCAATCAGACCTTTTTTTGTAGAGAATTTAATTTTATATAAAAATAAGTGAAAAGGAGTTTTTTTCACTTTAATGTTTTGACAGTTCTAACGTAAAACATCAAATTATGACTAAAAATCAAAAATAGCGATGATAGACCTCTTAAAATTAATATTAAGGGCTCAAATTTTCACAAATTTTTTTTTGTCATCCTGAATGACATTCTCGATATATTTTTCAAAAAAAAAATAGTCAATTTTTTTGGCCCAGTCTAGTATACATATAATTATACCTAATTTAAATAAAATAACTTAAAAGACTTAAATTAATAGCTTTGTGCTTCACATATTTAAAGTGACACTATAAAATATAAAAGAATTAAACTATATTTATAAATATTGTCTGAGTAAGTACTCATTGATTTTACGTTTAATGTAAGAGTGTCAAAGTTTATGTCCAAATTTAATTCAGCTGCATATCTATTAAAATTGTTGCAAATGGTATGGATAGGTGAATTTGTCAAAATATTTGTTCAATGTGTGGGCAAGTAAAATACCGTTTTATATCTTGTATTGAAATGCGTTACACTAAATTTAATTTGGGATCGCAGGTCTGGACAGTCAATAAATTATTAACTAGTTTATATATAAAAGTCATGCCCTGCAGTACTCTCCTGTCTTCTAGAGACATTAAAGATAATTTACCCGATAGAACAGCATTGTCAATTCCCCTTTCCGGATAAATCCCATCAATTTTAATCAATTAACTTATGAGATATATACATGGGTGACCATATCAGTGCCGCGTATTCAAGACGTGATCTTA